CTAAGTAAAGGTGTAGTTAAGACCATTAACAGTTCGATATTGGACCATCTGGTGAAAACCAGCCACAAAGCCGGAATTGAAGAATCCTTCTCTATCATCTACCGCGTGCCTAGTAAATTTCCAAAATCATCGAAGTACCGCATACTCCAAACATCAGGGGCTATTGCAATTCGCCTCAAACAAGCAGTGCTTTGTGTGCAAAAGAAGCAAGTCCAGCCACTACTACTCCACTCTGGCCGGCCTTCAGTAGAGACTATAAATTCATGAATTGGTAACATTATCTTTCCTAATTTTTCTGACATTCAGTTGATATTTATGTTGATGCTATTGAACTGTAATCTAGTGATATTATTATTGTTTCGATGTTATTTAAACAGCAACATTAATGTTGTTCATAATACCAATTCATTCATTCACTATTATGGATGTATATAACTGTAGAGCCTGATGAAGAAGAGGTTATCGAAAAGAGTATTCTTTGTTCAGTATCCATTCTTTTAAACTAAGTTTACTTATCAATAAATTAGACAGAATAATTAAATTTTTAAGTTGTTGAGTTTTAGCCATTTTATCTGATCTAAGACAGATTTCTTCACCAGCTGTTATTAGCCAGTGGAACCACTGAAGGCTATAGATAACTAAGGAGATTTCTAGTCTGCAGTTAAGCGCCTAACATGCTTTCATTTAGAAAATCATTCGTTCATGTTTTCTATGATTTTGTAACCTGACTGCTATCAATCATTAGCAGTGAAAGCTGGTCATAAGACAGAACTCATTGGACACTATCATTTAGGCAGTTTTCACCATGTTATTGTAACAGTGCCATGTGATGCACATCGTCAAAGGTCCTGAGTGGTAAAATATCTAGCAGATAGAGATCCATAGTGGCGCCGATAAATATCGATCAAAGTGGTATATGGAAGTATTAAACAATAATGATCGAAATTTATGACATTCTCATCAGCCTCCTCTTTCCTGTCATATATACATACATATATCAGTTTACCTTGATAACAGACCTATTCGTACCAATTAGTACACTTCATCATACGGCGATATTATTGATATTTCTGTCACTTTGAAAAATATAGTCTTAATTTCTTTCTAACAAACTTCGTCTACTTAAATTCTCTGTGAGTAGTTAGATAGTTTTAAGTGATATTTCTTAATAAGTTCTTAAAAACAGTTATTTAAAAGAGTAATTAATGAATAAGGATTATGCTTTACGGTAAACTCGTCATCGGGTTTCACATATTTACAACAATCATAGCTAAAGAAATATTTTGGTTAACAGAAATAATTTCGAAAAATGGATTAAACCACTAGCACCAACAGATTACATGTCAGAGGCTTCAATTTTTATTTCTTTACATTCAGTCTAGAGCTTTGAATTTTCGGTAGCAGTGATTTTATTTTTACGGGGTGAGGTCGCTGGTCTAACGTCCAAGCTTGCTCTCTACCGATCTTACTAACGGCTTGATGAGGTTTAGGAGTGCAGAAAACGGAGAGACAATCTCATTTCTGGACGGCCTACTAACAAAGAAGACTGAATCGGCTCTGAAGAGATCCGTAGATCGAAAGCCTACGTAAAACGGACAGATAACAAGCTTTTACAGTTGACCACCCATCAATCGCGAGTGTAACCCGATAATATCTCATGAGACTAGAATCAATAGAATCTGCAGCCCCGAATCAGTAGAAGAAGATATCACTCTGTCGAGGAAGACACAACTTGAGAACGGCTATTCACCACGCCACGCTTTATAGATAAACACATAAAGCCGAAAATCAACAAAGAACTTACCATCTCTGTGCCGAAGAAGAAACAATGTGTGAATACAGCGTTCAAAAGTAATCTTCTGACCAACATCCTAAAGAAGAGAATAGCTAACACCCTGAAAAGAACATTCTCTGTTGCTACGTTATGACTGGTATTCTCAAGCCGCTCATTGTTCTTCAACAACCCCAAAGACAAACTGTCGTATTTGACGACTTCTATGGGCATCTACCAATTTACCCCCTCGTGTGAAGCGAGCGAGATATGTGGGTCGTTCGACGCGTGTTTTATGTAAAAGAGTCAAAGAACATTATCGTGCTTGCCTACGAAAAGGTGGGAGTGGATCAGTGAAGAGTGCTATAATTGAACATATCTTGAAAACTGGTCACCAAATATGTAAAGAGAATTCATTCAAAGTCATCTACAAAGTCAAAGGAAGCCTCTCGAAAACGGTAGGTAAGCTTCCACATACTTTACAATGCTGAGCGAGGCCTTTCTGGTCAGGATAGAAAAACCTGAATTAATCACTCAGAAGAAACTTCTCCACCTCCTCCTTCTATCCTGGGTATAATTCCAAGTTCGACTACCTTGTTACTAATATTATTTTTGAATTTTTTATGACGTTTTAGTAACATTTTTTCTTAACTAACCCCTTTATTTACTCTTTCTACCTATTACATAATTTATTTTGAACACTTGTCACCACGCTCTTTCATCAACATCCCCATTTTCTGGGTGTCTTTCGTATTACGCAACCCCTACCTATCTTCACCCCCCGCCGTTCTAGTTACAGTTTGATCTTTCATCACATTTTTGAAACATCTTGATGACGTAAACAATAACCCTAACTAATTGTAATTTTTCTTTGACAATCCTGATGTAAGCACACACACAAAATAATTACATAAAAATGCGAAAAGAGACTCTTCGCTGAACGTTTTTCTTCTTGTATTCATGTTTAGGGCTGTGTCTGCCGTGAACTACGTGAGGCGTGGTTGGCGAGTGTTCCATCGCCGAACCACGGACACCCTTCAAAAGCATCAGTAAAATATAATATACATTAATATAACACCAAACTGAATATCAGGTAAATTAAGGCAAGTAACACAAAATTTATGCATTTATAGGTTCTAGAGTAGGCTAGGGTTGTAAAAGTGTTTGGACCTGTTCGTTTCGCACTGAGAGCTCCTGTTGATTCAAGCGAACTGTAATGGCCTCTGTCCTTTGGACTGTCAAGTATCTAGCGGCCTTTGGTGATTTGTCAAATATCCAGTAGATGATAGAGGAAGACTCTTTAGTTCTAGCTTTGTGGCTTGTTTGGACCAGGCTAACTAATAAAGAAAACTGTTTAGGGTTTTAACAACACCTTCACCAAACGAATTGGCCTGATTGGCCCACTGGATATCAACTTTTGCGTCGGTGGCACAACGGTAGAATGCTCACCAACCACTCACGTGGTTCGGGTTTCCATCCCCGGCCGACACACGTCTAAATCTCACTTAGCCAGTAATAATCCTAGCAAAATTGGAAGGTTGGGAGGGAGACTAGGAACCCCAAGCCGTAAAAAACACCCAATGCGATCAAAATTTCAAAGCTCCAGCTTGATGCCCTATGTTCCACTGCGAATGCAAAGGAACAAAGTAATAGTGATAGTAATTTACGTTGAAAGAATATGTGGATGATGAAAAGTTTGACAAGACAGATCTCTACTGTTAGTTAATTCATTCATGAGAAAATTTGACAATGGAAGTGAACCACGAACTGTTTTCTACCTGAATGTCTTAATTATCGGGAATATCCTTTATGAGTGAAAAACGATTTAGTCAAAATTTCCATTTAGACATTTAGAAGACAAAAGTTGAGATTAGTTAAAGAATATTTTTTTAAAGTGTTGGTTTAAAGAAATTTGATTGATATCAGGATTTCATCATGAAGTGACACATCGGTTAAAGTACCATTGGAAAACCAGCACTGAAGTGATGGAAAGACAGCTGTTTCGTCAGTAATATGCACCCACTGCCAGTGTTCGAATCCAGGACCTTCCCATTACAAGGCGAGTTCGTAGACTATTCAGCCACTGGGAGCCAATCCAAAGATCAATTCATGAATTCTAACTCCTGCCAATTCACGATGTGGAGCGATTGACACTAGTTGATATCATCGCTGGCGAGTATTTGTCCCCATACCGATGTCACTTAATGATGAAACCAACCTAATGCTCACTAGTGACTGGCCTTATTCTGGAGGGTGGTTGTTGCGTTATATATCACGAATTGGTAGAAGTCGGAATTCACGGGCTGGAAATTAAGTCGAGTCCCACTAGTTGAATGGTTTATGAGTTAATCTTGTAACCCAAAGCTACTGGTTTCAAACCTTAGTGGGCACCAACGAAGAGTCCCAAAACAATGACAAAGCAGCTGTCCAGGACAAAGTTAAACAATAGTGTTCCAATGACGCGAATGCTCTAATGACCTTGAACGCATGCTGTTCGTCCGCTAAGGATGCTTGTCATTACTACAGCAGAAATATGAACGCTACTCATCAACTGAGGAGCTAATTTCACCATATCACGTTTTTAAATACTGTTTCGATAGTGTTTTAATAGCTCGTTAATGTTAGGATTGGGGTTAAGGTAGGTATTAGGGTTAGGGTTACGATCAGTTTTATAAATGGGGTTATGATTAAGGTTAGGGTTACGAATAAGGATAGATATGGAGTTAGTAATTCTTATTTTAATTTGTTTTATTATCCACATTTTCCGAGTAAGTAGTCATCGATCCACTTACTGGAAACCATATTAACTCAACCAAGGGCTTTTGGGGAAGACTGTAAAACAGGATTAGAGCGATAAACGAGTCACTAAAAATGCTCACCATAGGTCACCACACTGAATACATGTACAGAAAGTGGTCCAACTTAGAAGCTCACACTCCTTGTCATAACTAGGACGTGCTTTTAGGTCATGTGTAGTAGAAAGATATCCTGTTTTAATGTATTTTCATGCATTTTCTTATAAATAAACGTCATTTTTTGTTTAGGAATCAATTATTTTTATGATTGATCGGCTCAAGGTCATTTATGCCTTCCCATCCCTTGGGACGCTGTTGATTAACTCTACACTGTCCAGTACTCCCCAGTGGTTTTCCAATGGTTCTTTAAATGATGTCCATTCATGATCAAAGCCAAAAACCATAATACACACACACATAAATTTATTTATTGATTTATATTTGACTGTAATCAAAAGCCACACAAATGACATTATCACCATAATAATCATAATCATCATCATAATGATAACAATCAGACAACACACAGGGATACTATAAATTCACACATACACACACATTTCACTGCTGCCAGTGTTTACGTGTATGTGTGTGCGTGCGTGCGTGCAAGAAGTTTGGCTAAATGTGTATCACAGAAGCATAATCAATAAGTCAATCAATCAATAAATCACGAATTTAAATTAAGTCTAAATCAATCACAGAGATATAAGAGAGGTGGGTTGTTATGATGTAACATTTTCGAAAAGAGAAGAAGAAGAAAAAGAGAAAGAGACAGAAAAATATGTTCTATTATATGTATGAAAAACAAATCTGATCACGGAAATAGAACCAACAGCAACAACGACAACATACAACGGCAACAACAACAACAACGTAAAAGATCAATTGTAGAGGGGTGTGAAAGATGTGAAATTGTCAACCTACCTCTTTTTGTTGTCGTTGTTGTTGTTGATGATGATGAATAGATCAGAATGAATCAATATATGGATTATTTATCCCCTTGGGAAATGTCTCAATAAATCAAGACTAGATCACAACGAGACAATGGATAAGGGATGGAGAAGAAGTTATAGAGTACTGTGTTACTGTAGTTCATGGGCACACGCACACACGCAAGCACACACAGAAACAAACACAAACACAAATATACACATATACCTAAAAGTGTTATTGAATGAGACCTCAGAAACAATAATGATTTTTTTTCCATATATATCTATACAGTAGTTTGTATATATTTGATCGTATTACCACCTAAGCGTATTAAATGCACAGAAGAATAAAAGTAATTAAGACAGGAAGTCAACACACTGACATGTACACACACATACACACGGACCAGAAACACAACATAAACAGGTGAAATCTGAAAGGTAAAAGAAATAGAAGTCAAAGAATATTGCTGAAATATCAATGACGATGTTGATGACAGCGATGATGTCGATATTGATGATGACAGTGATGAGGATGATGATAGTAAAAATTAGCTTATCTGAAGAAAATCTTAAACATGAAAATATGTTGCTTAATGATAATGATATTGATGACAGTAACAATAATAATAATCTTTCATAATCATTGAAGATTGACAGATGGATACATAGATCAGGGGATTTGGAAGGGGAGAACGAGAGAGAGAGAGACAGAGGGAGATATGAGGTGGTAACAAGAAATGCACTAGACACAAACGCACACCACACACACACACAAGGACATATATGAAAAGACAAAACGCAAAAGACATAAAAATGAATGAAAGAATAAATAAATAGATAAATAAATAAAGGAATCAATCAGTCAGTCATGGTTTCGTCTCACATTCTTCAATAGGGACTGTCTCTCTCTCACACACTCTGTATGTCTGTGTATATAATGTGATGGAAACAATCTCTCAATGGGATTGAATTGGTGGAGGTATCGGTGGAGCGGGTACAGTTGATTGTATGCTATTGTCTTGTTCTTTATAAGCGGTAAGCGCATCACCTTGATATGAACCAGTTGGTTCATCGTCGAAATCATCCTTTGGATTACGCTGAAATGAAAACAATATGGATAAATGAAATATTTGAAGTAAGTAATGACTTCAAAGAAATCGGAATTCTATTGCCTGTTCCATTAAGACAAGGATATCGGTGTTGAAGGTCAGACAGTGATGATGATGAAGATAATATTGAAAAGACTTTTGAGAATCTTCACTTTGTAGTGTATGAAAGATGACGGTCATTTCTCACAAGGGTCTATAGCTTTAATGCTAGTTAGATGCAGAACAATGTTGACGTTTTTTTTTTTGGACAACTACTTATTAGTTGACTATCCTTACCACGGATAAAGTCATCTCATGCAGTTATTACATCGATATCCGCTACAGAAAGGTTTTCTGAGATCATTTGACGTAGATTCACCTGGTTAAAACCCGTACCTACAACCCCATGACCTATGTAACCACCATAATCACCTCCACAATAAGGTGCATTACGACCCCCAATGACTTGCAATGTGTGTCAACGGATTGCTGTGAACTTGTGAACCATAGAAGAACTACACTTAGAAGTACCTACTCAACGTCCGATTATATTCTTAAACTCACTGTACTGGCTGAAATCCTGAATTATTATGAACATTAGAATGGTTAATCACATTTCCTGAAGGACTTGATTTGGATCGCCAATGGAGTCATAACTGCGTACTGCTAAAGAGTCCCAAAATAGGAAGAAACAGCCTTCCAGTAATTCCTATTGGTTTTCTAGCCGATTTGAGTTTGTGTTCTGACTCAAAATCAATCAAATGCATGCAAACTATCACCTGAAATCGATCGAATTCTCACTGGTGAGTGATTACAGGATAACATTTCTTGGAGTGTTAGTGAGAAGTATGACCAACAAGGTCATCGAAGTCAAATTTCAGAATAATTACCCCGTGGTGACATGTGTATATATTATCCCAAACTGGAAGACTTTAGAACACAAAGGGTGGTTATTAGATTCCATCCAATTGACTAAATGGTCAACCGGGTCACCTCACAATCTGGAGATTCCGGGTCCGATCTCCAGGCTGGGTCATCAGTGCATACTGATGAATATTTTCAGCCACAGGGGAGGGAGAAGAAATGTTTGTTCAGTACTCTCCCGTATTCAATAGCTCTCTAAAAGAAGTCAGTTTGTGCTGCAACAAGAAATCAAATTCACTGACTGATGATATTACTGATGATTACATAGAGTCCTTAAACACATTATTTGTTGAATTCAATCTTAGATTTTCCCGTCGATTGACTGCACCGATGTGCTCTGTCTCGGGGTGACAAGTCGGCTTCTTGTTCAGATGCTTCGACGATGTCTGGGCATGTAATTGGAATTTAATTGATGGATGGTGACTAGCAGTATAATCCAGGATTCTCAATTCGTCCTATTTGCGACCGGTCATCTGGACGTACCTGAGACCGAACACTTCGGTCCAATCAATCGACGGGAAATAATTAATATGACCCGTTGCACAAGAGGTGGCTGTCGTCCCCCGAATGGTCTAGTGGATAACGCTTTGGCGTTTGAAATTATGGGCACTGGGTTTTGAGCCTTGGTGGAAACATCATCACTCACTGCAGAATGCAGGTACATCCATTGACGAGTCCCGAATAGGACGAAATTTGCATCCTGGATTACACTGCTAGTCACTATCCACTAATTAACATTAGTTGTTAGATTGCATCTCAGTGTGTGAATTGAATGGTATACAAAATGTGTATCATATATATCAACTTAAAACAATAAAACTACAAGGCGAGATGGAGATCAACACTTTCACGAAAAAAATCAAATGAAGTTTTATAGGGTAGTGGTTTATGAATAACATGTCTATTGTTCCCCCTTCAGACAGTATATTTTGATCTACTTATATGAAATTAAGTAGACTAAATTAAACGTGTAAAATTTTCGTTGATTGGAGTTATGCTGAGATGCTACAAAATAGCAGAGTCAAGGAAAAGCAGCATAGACCTTCATTACTCTGTAATCAGTACGCTCAAAACAAATAAGAAGATCTGGATATTCATTTTTATTGTCAAATCAGTGCGTCTATGTGGTTCAGAGACTTGTTGTATGAGTCACTAAAAGTATTCTTCGATTGGACACTAGTCAGTAACCAGTCAGTGTACTGTGCGTCTGTTCCTCCTATCTTTGATGCAGACTGAATTCTATCAGTCAAGTGTGCAATGTGGCCACCATGCCACTAGGTGGCTCTCCATCGTGGTGCATTTGTGAATTGTTGATATTAGATGGTTGGACGGAATCAGCCACAAGAAGCCTTCAACACAACCTAGGTTTCGTGCTAGTTGGCACTCACCAGGCGTATCTGCATCTGCCATGAAGGAAATCATGTCTCTTCTGAGGTTCGAACGCGCATCACCCAGTGAGTGTGGTAGTCAGAGGTCTTACCACTGATCTATTCGTGCTCACGATTGACCTCCTGAATTCTACCAGCCAAGTTTGCGCTGTGGCTACCGTGATAGGTGGCACTGTGTACTTGAATTGCTGGAATTTCATGGCACCGCGATGGCAAGCCACCTAGAATTCTGGCAACATTGCATAGTCAACTGATAGAATTCAGTTGGCACCAAACAAAGGACCAGACACAAATTACACTAGTTACTAACTAGTGTCCAATCAAACAAAAATAGCCAATACAGCCAGTCCTATAGAAAGCCAATCGCTAGCCTGAATAGCTCAGTGATGACATCTCTGACTGGCTTCAGCACTCACTAGGTGACGCCGGTTCAAATCTCAAAAGGGATATGAGTTCCTCGAAGGCGGTTGCAGATATGCCTGCCTTGCTGACTACTGGTGAGTGCCAACTAGCATGAAACCTAGGTGGTGTTCAAGGCTTCCTACCTATTGTTTCCAACCATCTAATATCACTAATAGTATCTCCAACGGGCTTCAGACTCTCATCACAATAACTACTCTTCCTAGCTCATTTCTGAAGATCAGAAAGAGTAAGTGACAGGGAACTCTGACAACAAGCCAACTAGCACTCTATCACCAAACAAATACGCGGAGAAAACAGTTGGGTTACACCACATTCAATGCAGACCCTACAGTATAACGCCAATGGGAAATGACGAGTTGAACGTGAGCAAATGAAAGCCTGTGAGCAATTGTGGGGCCGGATAAAGAGAACTACAAAGAACATATTGAAACATAGGACGACCTTTTAAAGCTCCATATCCCACTCGGAACCAATAAGAATAGCTAATAATAATAATAGCAATACAGAAAGCATTTATTAAACAAAAAAGCCTCAACTTTTAACTGACTTACTTGTTGTGTATACTTTTGATAACTCGGGTGAAAATTATGAATAGCATCATTCAGCATATCCTTTGGATTAAATGTATCCCGTAGACTACGCAGCGAATCAGATGATGGTAAAAATCCACCTTTGAAAAAAACGAAAGAAAAAAAGAGAATAAACAACAACAAAAAGAGGAAGAGAAAAAATGAAGTCTTCAGCAACAGAAAAACATAGTGACCTTTGACCCTCATTCACCAGTGCTTTCAAGTACGAATCCATCAACACTGATATTTTCATCAGATAGAATCATGAAAATATTATATTATTATTATTTTTATTCCCTTGCGTTCCAAGTAGGACATAGGGCTACAACAACACATCTTAACTTCGTTCTGCTTTCTGCCACCCTCTTCAGCTGGTCCACGATTGACCAAACTTTCTCATATCTTCCTCACACGATCTCCTCCATGTCACCCTAGCATTGACGACCCACTTGTCACTTCCCGTTTGGATTCCACTAGAGGGCCTGGCATGCAATGTCATTCGGCGGCTTCCTCAATGTTTGCGCGATCCACCTCCACTTTCTCCTCCATATTTGTCGACCAATCGGCTCTCGGTTGGTTCGCTACCATTGTTCCGTGTCGCTAATTCTTTCCAGCTGGCGAGCCATTTGATCTTCATTAGGGAGCCAGCGAAGACAGTTGTTGATGAAAGGCTGCAAATGGCTGTTGGAAATCCTTTTCGTGACCTACACGCAGTGCAAGTTTGTAACCCGTATAGGATGACCGACTTGACATTGGTGTTGAAAATGCGAATCTTGTTCCCTATGCTGGCTGAGTGAAGCAGATTTACAAACTGCTTTCAGGTTGATGAAGGAGTATCTTGCCTTTCCGATTCTGACTGGCTATGACATCTTCATCCGCTCCGTTCCGCCTGCAGTTGAAACGATGCTTTCTATATAAGTGAAGGAGGTAAACTCTTATAAATCTCTTGCCTTGATGGTGATTGGTTCTGGTTGTTGTTGCTGTTGATTGGCCCGTTATCTTCATCACCTCCGCCTTCTCTATGTTCACTTGGAGTCCTGTTTTCGCTGCCTCTTCAGCCAGTATGTTGGTTTTCGCTTGCAAGTCTTCGAGTTTGTGTAACATTAGATATGCATCATCTGCGAAATCCAGATCTTCTAGAGTCTTTAATCGGTCATACAGAGTATTCCTGACACGTAACATTGTCATATAGTTGTTGAATGAGATTGACAAAGAATTGGACACTGCACGTCGTAGTGTTGAAGGAGTTTGCAAATTACTTCTCGGTCTACGCTGTCATTCGAAGGCCTTTTCGAAGTCAGTGAATTTGTTGAGGTAGATAGAGGTTTAACTGACATTCCATGCTTTGTTCTATGATAACAATGCGTAGGGTGGCAATTTCATCAGAACGTGATTTGCCTTTCCTAAATCTAGCTTGTTCCGGCACTTTGGCGGAGTTCTGTATCCAGTGCATCCTGTAATTCTCTCCAGGATAATGCGACTTAGTAATTTACTTAGCGAGAACAAAGGCATGATTCCACGCCAGGCCTAAGTCGTCCTTCTTTGGCAGATTGACGAGGTAGCCAGCCATTCTTCCAGTCGGTAGGCACCTTTCCTACTTTCAAAACTTTTTGCAGTAAGGAAATGAAAATAAGCAGTATATATATAAAGTTCTAGACATATTATTATTGTTATTATCATTACCATTATTACTACTACTCTTAAGCAGTTAACTCACGTTTCTTTGTTTCATGAAGCACGTCACCTCCGCCTAGACTATCATAGCCACTAAATGTTGTCGGTCCTGTGCCAATGCCATCAGAATATAATTGTGATGGGAATGCAAATCTCAAAGCGATTGAAGCCGCAAACATTTCTAAACAAATCAAGAAATTTTGTATACCAGCTGCAACTGTACCAGCGTTTGTATTCGGTAAAGCTGGCAGTACCTCAGCCTTTTCCAGGATAGCTAATACCACACCTGTAATAATAATAATAATAAATAGAAGTAAATCAAAGAGACGATGATAAGAGGAAATCGGAGAGAGATTTTTCAGGTATTGGCTTTTTTGGTTGGAGGATTTCACCATGAGCAGACAAATGAATTAGAGAACCATTGGAAAACCAGCACTGGAGTACTGAACAGCCAGCTGTTTCGTCAGCCTTGTTTAAGACTGTTCATCAGTACATACCCACCACCAGGGTTCGAACACAGAACCTTCTGGTTACAAGGCGAGCTAGCTCGTAGACCATTCAGCCAGCTACTGGGAGCCAATCCAATGGCCAGTCAGTTCATGCATTCTAACTTCTGCCAATTCATGCACGACATAGCACGACCACTTCACAATGACTTCTTCAAAGAGTTACTGTCCTCACCTTCAACCTGCTGTACCCTACTGGTCACAACGCAAACAAAACACCAGACTGTCAATTTTTATCCATTTCAGGTGTTTGTAAAACTTAAGGCGGTGTGAACCTGACTGGTAGCGGCCACCTTGACGACATGGAGGTGGGCTTTGCATATCGCTATGACCCAATAAGCTATGCTATGTTCCTACAGATCTTATCATTGCCGGAAGGGTTGTTTGGATAGTCGTTGAACTGAAAGCAGTCACTGTCATAATGTAAACTTTTTGCGATATATTGAAGGTGTGTGGACGAAGTCATATTGCTAGCGAGTAGGGATGTAACAGCAGTAAGGTGTTATGCCTCAGATGACCAGCGTACCGACTACTTCTGCGTCTGCTTTGGACAGTTGGGATTAGAACAGGTCGACCCCGGAAGTTGTACATCTCGACTTACCTTGAGGTGGTAGGTGGTAAGGCTGTCAGTGACTGACCTTAGGCAGTTGTCCCCTAGGCTCTGTGGTCAGACGACACGACCGTGAGAATGTGACTGACTGAATGATTGAAGAATCAACACACTACCCAGATGTTCCAGTTTGAGAATTTACAGAAATGAAGACCTATGACCTTAGAGTCTTGTAAGCGCCAATGTCAACCTCTAGATAGTGTTCCTTAACGCCAGCACCAACTAAACTTGTTTTCCTCGGGTAACCCTCACCAGTACTCTACCTAACGTGTAAGTATCGATAAACGAACTCGAAGTAAAAAGGCATGCGATTAGGTAGTGTGTTCAGATTAGGATTAATATTTTTACCACAAATTAAATGTCAAATTTATTAGATACGAATACTGTACAACTTATCTGCTAACTGGCTGGGTTCGCGAGCTCAAGATTGCGCCTAATAATAGCACAACGATGGAGCAAGCCACGTGAGAGCAGTCACTCCAGAAGAACAATAAAGGCACGGTGCCACATTACGTGAATACGTTAAAATAAAAGTTCAAACATTCGAGATTCACTTCAGTATGTTCAGTATAAGAATATCGTGTTATGGGCATACAAGATTCAACTCAATTTATTCAACTAGAATCAATCAATACATGGTTTCTAAGAATTAGTTTGTGGGGATTCTATTTTTTCTCAAGTTAGACCATGGAGAATTGATATCAGTTAGAGAACTAGTGAAAACCAGTAGGAAGAACTGGACAGCTATTGACAGAAGCCTGCAGTCTGTTGGAAATGCCTTAGTTGACGGGTCAAGTTTCTTGACCATACCAGAAGCCCTAAATTAACATTGGTGCTGGAAGCCCGAATCTTCTGTCTTATGCTGAGTGCAGCAGATTACCACACACTGATCTCAGAGTAATGAAGGCCTGTCTTACTTTCCCGATTCTGGTTAGCTTTGACATCCTGATCCGTGTTGTCCCCTGTAGTTTAAACGATACTTCCTAGATGAATGAAAGAAGTGTCATCTTTCAGATATCTCGCGTTCATAGCGATTCGTGCTTGTTGGTGGTGGTGGTTGTGGCAGTGCGTGGGTATCCTCGTCACCTCCGTCTTCTCTATGTTCATCACTTGAATTCTTGTCTTTGCTGCTTGCTTCTCACTTCCCATGGCCTATCACATGATACAGCCGAGCACAGTCAAGAATATCATCAGTAACAGTAGCGTATATGAATATGCTCTACTAGAACTAGCGTTCCCAACAGATTAACTGATCTGAAATCTACTCAGTACTACTCTTCCATATTAGTTTGTTTATTAGATATATCACACAGTCAGCGAATTAGTATTATTTACTGGATGACAAGGTTTCGAACAAAATTTATTGTTCATAATCAATCCATCAATTATAATCACACGACTTCGAAACTTGACTTCTATAGTTTTCCTTGTCTTCTCCTATTTGTCATCGTAAGGGTAGTAGAATTTTCCAGAAATCTGGGCGGACAGGTGTTGAATCATTCCTATTACACGTGTTTTTGCAGTTGATTCCATAAACAAAGCTTCCGTTATCAACCTCTCCCTCCATCCTGTGATATTAGATTTTAAAACTGTCATCTTATCCCATCATCCTATTGTATGATTATTTGTGTGTAATTGCATGTGGTGTAGTGCTAAAGCTGGACTATTCTCTAGATTTTTCATCTTATTTGGGTCAACCAATCTAGATTTTGCGAGATTTTTTATGGAAGCCCTAAAACACCTAAAGAATAAGAAGAATATAGTAATCACGAAGTGAGACAAAGGCAAGGCAATAGTAATATTAGACATATCAGACTATTTGGAGAAGGTGAACTTTCATATACAAACCGGACCATATGAGGAAATCAATAAATCAATAGACACCGTTATGAATAAGGTTAGGAAATCCACAGCGGAACTGATACGCTGAATGAAGCTGTTTCTAGGTGAGTCTAAATGCTGCACAAGTTTTAAACATATATGAAGACTACTCTTTAGGCATTTTCAAAAGGATTAATTTGGTGGATGGTGGCTAGCAGTGGAATCCCAGGTAACGCGCGTTTCGTCCTATTTGGGACTCGTCGTCTGGATGTACCTGCATTCCTCAGTGAGTGATGATGTTCGCACCACCAAGGCTCGAACCCAGTGCCCATAGTTTCAAACGCCACCTCTTTTGCAACGGGTCACCGCGGAATGCAGTTACATCTAGCTGTGACGAGTCCCAATCAGGACGAAATGAGCGGATTCCACCGCTAGACACCATCCAGCAGATTAACCTCTAATTACATGCCCAGACATCATCGAAGCATCTTCACAAGAAGCCTGTAGAACAGGTGATGAGGCAACAAAAAAAAATTAAAAATGTCTACTTTGACTAACCTTGCCAGAAACACAAGAATACAACAGACTTCACTACAGCAAATTTAATCGCTGGGTCGAATGGTTGTAGGATGCTTCGTGTAGCCAAATAGAATAACACTAAAGCGTATAGTGCTACAAATGCAGATGCGTTGTAGACTACTGTTACATATAAATAACCATTTGTAGCACTGAAAGATAAATAATGATAATAATTTTTTAAATTAAAAATTAAAGTAATTAATGTCAAAAAAAAGAAACGACGGTAGAATTCTTTCTAGAATGATGAATTTTGTGAACTCTTGGATTAATGTTTCAGTATTGACCTGTGTGTGTGGGTGTGTGTATTACTCATATACCCCAAAAATAACTCGGACCAGATGTTAAATACCAACAACTGATTTGTTTGATTTTTGACCCACACAAAAAAATTGGAGAATCTGAACTTCGCTGATGATATATGTCTGATTTCTCACAAACTGGAAGATATGCAAGTGAAAAGTAACAAGTTGGTGATAGAAGAAGCATCAAAGATAGAACTTCCTTCAGGTGAGCATAGAGAAAACACAGGTAATGATGAAGATTCCTGGCCAACAGCAACAGGAACAACAACAGACAACAATCAGCATAAATGGGAGAAATCTGAAAGAAGCAACCTCTTTCACCTACCTACTTACTTGGGAAGCATCGTTTCAAATACAGGCGGACGGAACTGATGAGAATATCGAAGCGAAGATCGAGAAAGCAAGGCAAGGTTTCATTTCTCTCAAGTCTGTGTGGAGGCCAACACTCAGCACTCAGCATGAAAAATAAGATCTGGATTTTCAGCTCCAATGTGAAGTCAGTGCTAATATAAAGATCAGAGACTTAACACATCGCGAAGGGCACTTCAAACCAACTACAGACCTTCATCAACAGCTGTCTTCGCTCAATACTCAAGATCAGATGGCCGGCCAGAAAAGATTAGCAACAGAGACCTCTGGTAGCGAACCAACCCAGCAGGAAGAAATGCAGCTTATGGATTGGCCATACTCTGAGAAAACAAACCACCACCACCATCACACGCCAGGCCAATGCTCGAGTGAAACCCGAATGGGAAGCAGCGAGTTAGTTGGTCGTCAGTGCGAGGGTGACAGGGAGTAGTAGGTCATACGAAGAGGAAATGAAAGCATGTGGGCAGATGTGGAACCAGGTGAAAACGTTGGCAGAGAACTGAACGCAATGGAGACGTGGGCGGCTGAAGCCCTATGTTCCTCTAGGAATTAATGGAAACAATAATAATGTTTCTGATGTTGTTTGGTAAATAGGTTTCTTGACTTTTATCTACACGTCAGCTATGCAGCAGGTCAGGCTTCGACCTCCTACCGATGCATTCCTAAATTTCACTTAGTTTACTAAGAGGTAAGTAAGCCTGGAGAAGAATAAAGCCTGGGCATGAGTACAGCAATCCCACCTAGTAAAATAAAGTAAATGCTACTGATTCTTGAAAGGTTAGAGCTTGAAGCCCCATGTTCCACTCAAAAAGTTCAACTGTAATTCCTACAATCGCTGATCACATTTAAATCACAAAGAAGATCGCTGGTTTGAGCGCTTTTTTATCTTATGGAAACCACAATGAAATGTCATTCAATGATTGCTTAGTTTCTACAGTTTAATACACACTTAATGCTTTATTAAATCCTAAGTATTTACTAGTGTAATTCGTATTGTAGAGAGGGACAGTGGGAAAGAAAGAGACAATGGTCGCCAGTACATATAAACTTACAGCATCTTTTAGTTGTTAACTTTCGCAGTTCACTCATTATCTTTCAACATTTCTAACTGTACAATCAATATGCCTATTTTGTTATTAAACTACGCTGGTGGGCCAAATACACTGGAAATCTCCAGGCCTCTGAATTCAACTCCATAATGGACGATATGGCTTCATTAATTGAAAATGTAACATCTTATTCCATAAAACTATGCTGTACTTCTAAATATAAGTGCCCATTACAGTCACCATCAACGGGAGAGATTTGACACAGATTGCTTCCTGTATTAACTTATCTTGCCAGGAAGCCAGCACGCTTTCAACCACAGACAGGCAGGCAGTCGGACAGCACTGATGAAGATGTCAAAGCCAGCCAACCAACCAGCCAGAATTGTAAAGGCAGGATACACCTTCAGCCATCAACCTGAGACCATTTTGGAAATCTTATGCTTCACTTAGTCAGCCAGCCAGCATAAATAACAAGATTCTGATTCTATTCTACAAATATTTGAAGTCAGACAGTCACTTGGTTCTTCTACATGAGTCAGAAACTTGCACTGAATCTCACGAAAAGGATTTCCAACAGTCAATTGCAGACTTTTATCAACAACTCTCCAATTCGCTGGCCAGCTGCATACCCAAAATCAAATGACCGGACAGCCAGAAAGAATTAACAACAAGAAACTGCGGCAATGAACAAACCAACCGAGCAAGAGCCGAATGCTCAAAAAATTAGTAGGAGAAAATGGAGGAAGCCGTCGGTCAAATGACATCGAGCTCAATGCAGGCCATTGCTCGAGTGGAAGGTGAATGGTAATCGACTAGTGGGTCGTCAGTGCGAAGATGACATAGAGAAGATCGTGTGTTTGGGGGGGGGAGAAGGAGATGAAAGATTGTAGGCAATTGTGGGGTCAGCTGGCTGAAGAGGACAGCATCAAATAGAAGAAAGTGGAGATGTGTTGTTGAAGCCCTATTTTCCACTTGGAACCCAAGGGAATAATAATAACAATCACAAAACTAAGGCTAAATGTTCGAGTGAGTTAAACTGCTTCAGAAGAAAAGTGCTTTCAAAATGAAGACTTAAACAATTCAAAATGGTATCTCAGATGGACTTCATTTTTCTTATATTGAATGCAAACAAATCTAGAACATCCATCTATCAATCTATCTATGTTCCTAAACTACAATTACGTAGACTAATTGTTAAAACAACATCAGCTTTATTTTTTATATGACTATCTCTTTAGCTAATCAACTTTCCTACCAAGTACATTAGCAAGCCAACTGTTCTAAATGCTGTTCGCAACCGTAACCACCACCGATATATGAAGCAAGAAAGAAAGGAGGATAGGCCTTTAATCGAAGAGCTTTCACTGTCACGAAACAACAGCGGAAAGGTTTTACAGCAATTCGCGTATATAGACTTTAAATGACCTTGAGAGACAGGTTGAAACAGTTAACAAGCAATAGGATTCAACCATCACAAAGGAGGGAAATATAAACATCGTGGTACTATCAAAATTAATGTAGTAGTTTAAAGCTTTGGAAAACTTAGGTGTATGTTTCAATTTTATATAAAAGAAAGTTTCCGATATACGTGTTTTGATTATCAGCACTCAAAGGTAAGGTATACATTTGAAATTGAGAAAAATGACTCAAATTTAGGTCAATAAGTACTGAGTACGAAGACAAAGAAATACTAAATTATTGATCCATCTTCACATATTGATACGTAAGGATTTGATGCTTCATTATCAGAAAACTGTTGCAGATCAAGCAGTACTGAATATTTGTTATTTCCTAGTTCAAGACTACTTAGCAGCACGTCCTTATGACTCCGCCAAAGGATCAAAGTCAAGATCTTCAGATTACGATAGATTGAGAGACAGACAGCAATATTGACTATGAGTCAGTAGCTCATCCGCATAAATTAACAATTGTATTTTGCGATACAAAGACAGCATGAACCCCTTGTATGTTTCAAGTAACTTTATGACGTCATTTGATGTAACCTCTTTGTTCACAAGCATCCCGACCAATGAAACCATTGAGATAATTTGTCAACATTCTGATCTTCTCGCAATTCAAACACCTACTGCTAATGTGTACCACGGATGTACAATCCCAGTTTGACAACACTCTTTACCACCAAATAGATGGTATAGCTAAGGTTAGTCCACTCACCCCTGTTTTAGAAGAAATCTTCATGTCTAACTTTGAGAAAACAAAGTTGAAGCATGCAATCGAAGAAACGACTCCTCACTATTGATATTTTACAGATGACACATTTATAGTGTGCAAAATTGAAATTCATGCTTCCAAACCACTCAGATTATTCAATGAGGTACATGCAAATACTGAATTTACTGTGGAACATAAAAAAATGATGCAAAGTCCCATTTGCTTGACATTGCCATACAACGCCTGGAAGATGGTAGTCCACAGAGATCAATTTACCGAAAGCCTACATGGAATGGACAATACCTACATTTTGGTAGTTCTTGTCCAAATAACTATTAACGACAACTAGTCAAAATTCTTCGCTGCACAGCTAGGAGGATGCACCCCACAGAGAAATTAGAAGAAGAACTTATGATTCTCGAAAAGATGTTCAAAAGCAATGGTTACCCTCAGAGATTCACTAACAAGTACGGAAGATGTGAAGGCTCTAATGTCAGACAAATCACAGTGCGAAAGAAGCCTGTTTTCATTCAACTTGCTCTAAAGGTGAAAATATTGCAGGAATTATCAATAAAGGGTTGAATCTGTCACTAGCCAGAGACTATCCTACAGCTAGCTAAATTGGTTCCCGTTGTGTATGATTTTTGTTGTGTGGGATAAAGTAATTATTAATATTATTATTATTACCCTTGTATGCATGTATTGCTTTTTTGTTTAAAAATGAACTCTCTGAGGGTAACTATGTTAAAACTGTTTATGTACACAAAATTAACAGTGTCTCTGAGATGTACACAGTGATGAGAAGCCAATGAAAGGAGCAATGATGGTACCATTTTATTCTGCACAAACTGTTGTTCTCGCTTTATTCAAAAGAGCTTTGATTGTGCTAAGAATACGGATGAACTACAGAAACTACCTTAAATTAAAATATCACGCAGGAAATCATTCTCAACGTGGACGTGATAATTCACGTTCAACTCAGAAAACTTCAAGGTTGCAGATACGCCTGTCTTGCTGACTGACAATTAGCAGCTAGCACGAAACTTAAGTGGCCCAAGGCTTCCTGTGGCTGATTGTCTCCAACCATCTAATATAAGCAATTCACAATTCACCATGATGGTGAACCACCTAGTGGCATAGTGGCCACATTGCAAACCTGACTGATAGAATTCAGTCTATCGCAAAGAAACGATTAAACACATATTACACTAGTTACTGACTAGTGTCCAATCGAAAAACTCAAAAAACACTTTAACAAAAATAATCCACCTGTATATGGGGTAATTTTTGCTTTTTTTGGTTTTTGGATTCATTTGATAAGAAAGACAAAAGATGGGTAGGTAGGGAAGGTATTTACCTGAAAATTCCGTGTTTATAAACTCCAATAGCTTGTAAAATAATTGTCGCAATCGATGTTAACGGTTTAATGATACAAAATTGTAGAGTTGCCTAAAAAGAAAAACGAAATATATGCATAAATAAATAATTTAAAATAAACTTTAAAAAGTGTAGAAGAGCTGATCGATATACGCTCAGGAATTATGGATAAAGGAAGAATAAGTACAAATTTCCAGGCAGGATAATACGAGGTCGTCTTGTTATTTCGTAGATTCTCTCTCTCCAACTGCATACATCCAAAACAACAAAATCAACTAAAATTTAATTGGTAGATGGTGACTAGCTGTGGAATCCAGGATAAAGCGCATTTCGTCCTATTCGGGACTCGTCAGATGGATGTACCTGCATTCCCCAGTGAGTGATGATGTTCCCACCACCGAGGCTCGAACCCAGTCCCAAATATATAATACAGATGTAGCTCTGCGTTAGATCATCTTATCCAAACGTGGCACACTGAAGGGGAATTTTTCCTACCACTGCAAACATTAGAGACAATTACAGTTTGCTTCAAACAACCGGATCTCGCTGTGTGTGTCAAAGAAATAGGTCCAACCACTGTGATTATCTCGGCCTGCTGTGAAACCTACAAATTCATCTTAAGTTCTGAATTATCTTTCTCAATTTATCCAACTTTTAGTGTACTTTTAAACTGGTGCATATGATCACCCCTATATTTGACAAATAATAATATTATACAACTAGAGAACCATTGAAAACCATCCAGGGAGTACTGGACAGCTGTTTCATCCTAGTTTGGGAATCATCGTCAGTACGCACTCACAACCAGGGTTCGAAATCAGGACCTTTCGGTTACAAAGTGAACTAGCTCATATACCATTCAGCCACTGGGACGCGATTCAGTGGCTCATGAATTCTAAATTCTACCAATTCGTGATTTAGCGAAGTTCCCGGGTTCGAACCCCAGTGGGTGAGTACTGCCGATGATTTCCAAACTAGGATGAAACAGCTTTCCAGTACTCCAATGCTGGTTTTCAATGGTTCTCTAGCTGATATCAATCCATGATCAACTCGTAAAAACAAAACTAACCGTTACAAACCAAACTATAGAAAATATTACTCAAACTAGATTGATAGTCTAAGGTGATTTTTAAAAATCATATAGTTATTTACTACATCCCCTAGCTAACTACTTATTGACTTTGTTCAGTAGTATGAGTAGCTAATTTATGCAGAAAACAACAAAATTTTAATGAAAGAAAAGGAAATATACATATGCATACCTGTTTACAGAATCGTAGGAATTCTATTGTATACGTTTGACCATAAAAGCAACATGTGCAAAACGCCCATGAACGTCTGTTTCAAAAAAATGCAAATAAAAAAGGCGAAGAGCCAAAGGTGAACTCATGTAAAGCTAAGGTAGATGGGAAAAAATACAAGACAGAAAATGAAAAGTGCTGAATGATATAAAAATAGAACTTGGGCTGCACTGTTGCGGTAGAGTATAATTCCATTATAGGTACAGTTTTTATTTTGATAAAGTTTCAGTGTAATATTTACTGATGACAACGTCTCCAGCACAATTCGTTGCCACCCATAATCATATGAAGTTACTCATACACAAATATACATCTTCGTTTATATGAGTACACTATGAGTGATGAGTTATTTCTATTACATGTGATGGGTGCAGATTATTCAATGAACCAGTCAGGATTCAGTAACCAACCTCTGTCGCTCTCCACCTACCTATATTACTTCTTAGAATTTCAACTCTCTTCCACCCTATTTTGTGGTTGTGTGTTAATGCATGCAGTGCAATGCAATGCTGACCTTTTTTCTAAATCTTCGCAAGGTCAACCGTTCTGACCTTAGCTAAATTCTTATGTTCCAACAATTTGACTACCCCCGAGCTACTTGTTTGACCTATGTAGTTGACCTCACTCACAGTCAGTACAAGGAATTTTGTAAGTTATATTATTTTGTCTAATTGGGTCAACATACAACTACACAGTTGGGTGGGAGAGAGGTTGATTACTGCATTCTTGTTCATTGAGTCTAGACCCAACATGTGTAATAGGAATGATTCATCACTCATACCAGAGATATGGAAAATACTACTACCAATGAAATCAAGCGATAAGAAATAGTCGAACCATATAAACGAAGCTGGAAAGTTGTGTGAGTTAACTGACATGATATGACTATCAGCAGTAATAAATTGCGTCGGAAAAGTTGTGATCAATAAATATTACTGCGCTTTGAGACACTATCAAAATAAAAATGTTATACACAGTGAAAAATACTCAACATTCAATGAGTTAATTAGCCTATAGTAAATAAAAAAACTAGCTCAACTTCCTCAATTCAACAATTCAGGCATACATAAGGCTATGTGTAATTCTGAAGCGGTTTTAAGGGATTCTAGGGCAATTTGAAGGATTCTTTTATAGGAGAAATGCCTATGTTTTGTTGCGTTTTCCAAAAAATTCCCGCATCTATTTTATATTGATCTTCAAGTATTGGTTTTGTAGGGATTTTGTTTGATTGCATGGAGAAGGATTTCATCATGACCTGACATCAGTTAGAGAACCACTGGAAAACCAGCTGGGAGTACTGGACAGCTGTTTCGTCCTAGTTTGGCACTGGTCACAGTACTCATCCACCGGGGTTCAAACCCAGGAACTTCTGGTTACAAGGTGAGCTCGTAGACATTGATCTGCCCTGAGATTACCATCAAATTTTCTACTGGAGTAACATACGATCTACAGGAACGCAGATCTTAAATGCATTTATTTTTGATTGGTTGACTTCAAAAGGTTGAAAATTGTATCTTATTTCATTCGTGATATAAGAATAAAACATAGACACTGTGGAACGGTGGAGTATAATTCCATTATGGAGAGAATTTTTATTTTGATAATGTCTCACACACAGTGTAGTGTTATACAGTAATATTTATTGATGACCACGTTTCCAGCACCCCAATTATTATTGTTACTGCAGCTCATAATCATATCATATCAAGGCACGACTCACACAACTTTCTAACTACGTTTTCTATTCGTGAGTAAAAGTTGATTAGACATTTGAATAAAAATCAAAAGCACTTCAATAGAAATGCGTGAAACAGAAAGGTAGATAAAGTACAATCGGAGAGAATATAAGTGTTATCAATAAAATATAATACGATAGGAATTAAGCACTAATTAGTACAACAGAAAACTTCAATGATAAAATGAAACACATAGTAGAAGAAGCGTTTGTGTTAAATAACTAACTATCCTATAAAATTCATTAGGAAGATCAAAAAGGGTCAAAAGCAAAATATAAAATAATAGTGAAACTAATAATGATGATAACATAAATAAGAGAGAAAATAAGACATCTACAGTAGTTTTACCATATAAAGAAGGGACATCTGAGACCCTATGCAGGATTCTTAATAAAGTAGGAATTAGGGTGGCATTTAAACCCACAAACTCACTCAGGCAGGACTTGCTCTGTAGTTTGAAAGACCCTGTAGGTTGACCTAATTAGACAAAAGAAAAATTGAATTAACAAAATACCTTGCAGTGTCTGTGAGTGAGGTCAACTGCATAGGTCAAACTAGTAGAACGGGCGTAGCCAGATTATCAGAACATACGGATTTAGCTAAGGTTAAAATGTTTCTCCCCGCTAAGATAAGCAAGCTAGAAAATAACTCAGCAATTGCACTGCATTTATTAACACACAACCACACAATAGGGTGGGACAGAGTCCGAATTCTAAAAAATAATATAGGTAGGTGGGGAGTTCGAGGGGTTGATTACTGCATCTTTGTTCATTGAATAATCTACACCCAACGCATGCAATAGAATTGACTCAACGCAAATACCAGAGATATGAAAGACATTATTACCAGTCAAATTGGAGGATGATAAATAATCTTAAAATGTATTCAATTCACATTATAACAGTCTAAAAAGTTATTTTAGTAGAAAACGTCTTATTTTCCATCTCGTTGACTAACAAGAGTCACCTTAATTCCCATCATTTTCTATTTTATTGATAACACTAATATTATTTCCGAATGTACTTTATCTTCCTTTCTGTTTCACGCATTTCTATTGAAGTGTTTTTGATTTTTATTCAAATGTCTGATAATCAACTTTTGCTCATGAATAAAAAAAGTAGTTAGAAAGTTGTGTGGTTCGTGCCTTGATATAATTATGAGCTGCAGCAGCAATAATAATTGGGGTGCTGGAAACGTGGTCATCAATAAATATTACTGTATAACTAACTCTACACTGTGTGAGACATTATCAAAATAAAAATTTTCTCCATAATGGAATTATGCTCTACCGACCCACAGTGTCTAATTTTTATTTTTATATCACGAATGAAATAAGATATAATTTTTAACTTTTTGAAGTCAACCAATCGAAAATGAATACATTTCATATCTGCGTTCCTGTAGATTGTATATAAGTGCAGCCGACAACTGTGGGGTAATTTGAAGACAGGTCAATATAAAACAGATGCTAGAATGTTTTGGAAAATGCAAAAAGAATCCTTCAAATTGCCCTAGAATCCTCTAAAACCGCTTCAAAATTACACATAGCCTTCTGCATGCATGAATTGTTGAATTGAAGAAGTGAAGAAGTTGAGCAAGCTTCTTTTATTTACTATACGCTAACTAAATCACTGAATGTTGAGTATTTTTCGTTGTGGATAAAATTTTACTTGCATAATATCTCACATAGTGTAGTGTTATACAGTAATATTTATTGATGACCACGTTTCCAGCACAATTCATTGCCACTTATAATTATATCAAGATACTCACAGAACATTCTAACTTCGTTTATATAATTCCATTATTTTCCATAGCTTCATTTGATTGGTAGTAGTACTTGCCATGTTTCTGGTATGATTGATGAGCCATTTCTATCACATGTGTTGGGTGTAGACTCCATGAACCAGAATTCAGTAATTAACCCTCTCTCGCTCTCTACCTACCTAGATTACTTTTTAGAATTTTAACCCTCTCCCACCCTATCGTGTGGTTGTGTGTTGACCCAATTAGAAAAAATTATATAACTTAAAAAATTCTTTGCACTGACTGTGAGTGGGGTCAACTATATAGGTCAAACAAGTAGGTCAGGGGTAGTCAAATTGTTGGGACATAAGAATTTAGCTAAGGTTAGAATGATTGACCCGGCAATGACAGATAAGTAATTTAGAAAAAAGCTCAGCAGTGTATTTCACTGCATGCATTAACACACAACCACACAATAGTGTCCGACACAGTCCAAATTCTAAAAAGTAATATAGTTAGGTGTAGAGAGAGAGAGGTTGATTACTGAATCCTGCTTCATTGAATAATCTACATTCCACACATATAATAGAAATGACTCATCTTTCATAGTGTACTCATATAAACGAAGATGGATATTTGTGTATGACTAACTTCATATGATTATGAGCGGCAACGAATTGTGCTGGAGACGCTGTCATCAGTAAATATTACACTGTGATACTTTATCAAAATAAATTTTCTCCATAATGGAATTATACCTTTCGTGATGGTATATTCACACTCTGTGTTATAAACATTGTTCAACGTATTATTTATCTTTATTTTATTCTGTCTAAATTCCCTATCGTCGTGTGGAATCATTAATTATTTTCCTCTTCTTACTGATATAGATTTATTTCTTTTATTTTTGATCAAATAATCATCAGTTTTGTAAATTAATTAACTCACATAAAATTGTATCATACTGGAAAATTGTTACTCTTTATCAGCTGGTCGCCTTAAACTAAATTTATAACTGTAACAAGAATTAAACATCTAAAACTCCAACAAAATCTTCTGGTTGTTTCCGGTCCACGATGTGGACGTAAGTTCGAATCCCACCTCCGAGACACGCTTTTATCTAAACACCAAACACACACATTCGTACGCACATCAGCAAATATCAATTTTATTGTTTTCATCTTATTCTATTACGTTCCCACTGAAACATAGGGCTTACAGCTAGGTCTTTGAAGTTTCGGTAGCAGTTGGGTATTTTATTTTTAAAGAGTAAGGTTGTTAGTCTCATGCGTAACATTCTCTCTTTATCCGATTTACTAGCGACTTAGAGAGGCTTGGGGCTGATGATCGAACTCTGGGACCACATGCGTGTTTGGAGAGCACTGTAACACGGAAACACTGTCGCAAAATAATACCTTGATAAAGCTATTAGAAGAAGCATTAAATAGTGAAACGTTAGTAAAAATAACAATATCGTTTTGTTTTTCATTCATTGGGAAATACAATAAGAATTTTTATAATAATGAACTGTAACAAAATTCTCTAAGTTAAGAGTTTTGTAGGTATTCGGATTCAATTCTGTGGTGGATTTCGTCACGAATCAACACACCAGCTGGAGAGTTATTAAATAGTTCTACTTTGTGGCTCCTCACAACAGGAGTCGAAACTAGGACCCTCAAGTTAAGACAGGATACTGGTTGACCGCTCATCTACTAGGGTCCGAGTTCAATAGTGCGTGAATTCCAACTGTGGCAAATGTTGATATGAAAATAATTCGATAAGTAGTGATCAGCAAAGAAGCTGTTTTTGGTGAATCCACTTTCTTGAACTGTACAACCGCATTTATATACAATCTATCCATAAAAGAGGAGGGCGGTAGCAAAGCCAATAAGATTTCAAAATCATAGGAAGACGCCACCGGTGAGGACTTCTCACTGTAAGTTTAGAATATCAATTCAGTAGTCACACTAAGCTGGGGACTGATATTTAGAACATGCGGGGGGTGACGGTGGGATTAATTTCAATGTCGATTTCATCATGAACCACCACTAGTTACGGAACAACCAAAATATATCCAAATCTGTTTAAAACCCTATTATCTACATAGGATAATTGTAGTAAAGATTAGAAGAATCCCTGACCAAGACAAAACAGCTCTACAGTGTCTCTTGGATTTTAGTGGTTCTCTAAATATGGCGTTATTATAATATTATTATTCCCTTGAGTTCCAAGTCGAACATGGAGGTTCAACAACACATCTCCACTTTATTCTATTCTCTGGCGTCCACTCCGCTTCAGCTGGCTGGGACCACGACTACTGCCCACAGTCTTTGATCTCCTCCTCATCCTCCCTCCAACACACAATCTCGTTCATGTCACCATCGCATTGACCACCCCCTTATCACTGCCCATTGAGATCCCACTCCAGCAATCTCCGCATTCCACGTGATGCCCTTCGATGACATCCTCAGGGGTGTGTATGCCCAATTTATCTCCATTTTCTCCTACAAATCTGTTGAGCGCCCAGCTCTTGGTCGGTTTTTTCATTGTCAGCCAGAGTTTCTTGTTGCTAATTCTTTCTTATCAGCCGGTAGACCATCCGACCACTTGATCTTCAGTATATGAGGCCGGTGAAATGATCAGCTGTTGATAAAAAGTATGTAACTTGTTGGAAATCCTTTTCGTGACATGCCAAGTTTCATAAATTAGCAGAAGTTGAAACTGGTGTGTTGCTGAACTCAGCGCAAGTGGCTAAATGGTCAGAGGGCTTGGCGCTGTAGTCTGAAGGCGTAGAGTCCAGTCTTTGTTGAGGCTTTGCGTGTTGGTTGTTGAGAAATCCTACACTATAACAAAACAGCTTCCCAGTACCTCTTGCTCTTTAATGACTCTCTAACCGAAACTACATCCCTCATAATTTTCGAGTGATTGTAGCAAACAGTGTATTCTGGGACGTATGATTCATCCTAACCAACCTTCATCATCTAGATGTACTTGCACTCCCAGTGAATGAAGGTGTTTCCCGTGGCGACTTGAATACAACATCTGTCACTTCGAACTCCTAAGCGCTGTTATTTTTTGTCCACAATTACTGTCTTTTGAATTTTTTGTTAGCATGTCGTCTGATATGCTAACATGTTAACAGTCATCGAGTTTTTCGGTTAAATCATGAAAAATCCTTATTAGAACATTAATAGAGAGAAGACAAGTAGTTCAGTGAAGAGTCTCTTTTCGGAGGCGACTTCATTTTCACAGCTATACAATCACAAATATTATATATGGTCCTTTTGTACAAGTGTGTGTGTACATAAGTGTACCTGGGGTTCTAGTGGGAAGCCGTGACCAGAAGAGTACAGCAGGCTGAATGTGAGGCAGTGACTCATCGAAGAAGACAGTGAGCGATAGTCACGCCATATCGTGAATTGGTAGAAGCTGGAATTCATGGACTGATTGGCCATTGGATCGAGTCCCAGTGGCCCAATGGTCTACGAGCTAGCTCGCCTTGTAACCAGAAGGTCCTGTGTTCGAACCCTGGTGGGTGCGTACTGTGACCAGTCCCAAACCAGGATGAAACAGCTGTCCATTACTCCCAGGTTTTCCAGTGGTTCCCTAACTGATGTCAGCCTATGATAAAATCCTCCATCCAATCAAACAAAATCCCTACAAAACCAATACTTGTACATTAAATTTGTCAAACGAATATTCAACTAGTTAAGGTTATTGTAACTGAGATGGGGGTGAAAATTAGTAAGTTTTTGGTGGAGTTACGCAGTAAAAGAAGCGTTTAAAGGAATTGGATGTCGATTCAAGAGGGCGGTAACAAAAGTGTTGTGCTGTCACTAGAAAAAGAACTACACTTCTTCATAGAAAACGTATATGCACCAAGATTTTTAGATAAAAAACATCAAACAAAAATTCCAAACGCCATCCGTGCCAAAAAGGATACTTTATATGAAACTTGACTTCAGAAGTGAAATACTCAGTGATGTCCTTAAGATGAGAACTTCCACTTCTTTTAGAAGAACTTCCTTCGCAGTAAAACTGAGAGTAGTGTTCACTAGTCGGCCGGTGATCTGCAGAGCGCCAAAAGACAAGATCTCGCACCTGACCACTTCTATGTGTATATATCAGTTCACCTGTTGCTGTGGAGCCAGGTAAATCGGTCATTCGACGCGCATTCTGTCAGAGGATCAAAGAACACTACCCAGCGTGGTTGCAGAAAAGAAGTAGTGACCGTATAAGGAGTGCAGTGATCCAACATCTCGTCACCACTGATCATTCCATTACAACAAACGCCTCCTGCTTCAAAGTGGTCTACAAAGTGAAGAACAACCTGCCAAAGACAATACATTTCCGTCTTCTTTGCATTGCAGAAGCCCTAGCCATTTATTTAGAAGAACCAGAACTATTCATACAAAAGAAAATTATTCAACCACTTCTACTATCATGATAACAACTCTGTTGATTTGACTTAATTTTTTGCTTGTTTGCTTGTTTTTTCTAACTACTTAAAACTCTTGTCTTCCTTTAAAACTCTTACGTAATTCCGTATGTTATTTTGTTTCCATGTACACCCTGAGCACAACTCTTTCGTCAAACTGTTCACGTCATTACATAACTCTTCTTTAACAATCGTTTGTGGCAACTCATCACTTTTGTTACTACCCTCTTTTATGAACACCTAATTCCTCTAAACGCTTTTCGTATTCCGTAACTCCACCAAAAACTTACCAATTGTATTTTCGTTTGACAAGTTTAATGTACACACACCTATACAAAATAACCATATATAATATTTGTGATTATATAGCTGTGGAAATAAAATCGCCTCCGAAAAGAGACTCTTCACTGAACTACTTATATTTCGACTAAATTTATTTATCAACCGACAAGAAATCCTCCATGACTTCAACACACAATAGATCTTTCAGACGAAATGCGGATAACATCATTGAGCTTAAGTGATCAATAAACATTGTGTAGTAGTATTGTCCTTTATAGATTTTCACTTACGGTAATTCACGACCTCTAATCTCTGACAGGATACAACTTTCTCCACCGAGATATTCATAGCATAGACTTAAGAAACTGTAAACCACAAAAGCTAAAATGAAACAAAAACAAACAAAAAAACAAAAGAAAGAATTTAGATTTTCGGTGATATATCAAGAAAAATCGACAAAATGATGATTTAGTTATCCAATTTTTGAAGTTCTACTATGTTTCACCGACTGACTAAATGAATGACTTTCTCAACGGAGAGTGAATGTAACTGCACCAGTAAGAGGGGTTTTGAACCGTACCGCTAACAGTTTCCAGCCGATGGTTCTTAGAATTCCAACGACACCTTTGTACATGGCTAGCTCAAACTAAAAGTTTTGGACTTCATAGATGGAGGTCATGACCACCACTTACTCCTTCACAGCCTACTTCTATGCAAGCTAACATTGTTCGATAAGGAAGGCGATGGCCTTGCATGTGTAGCATGTGTCTCAGCCATCTCAATCTATGTGGCTTCACAACCTCATCAACTAACTTGCTCCCCTTACCTAGGACTCCACACCTAACCTCAATATTACTCCATTTAGAAAAACAATGGCAAATGATCTACGGTCTATCTGAGCAACTACTTCAATTTTCTTTAAGTGACGACATCAGTTTGAAATGTCCACTGTGGAAATCCAGTGTTTACTTCGATTGGACACAAGTAACTAGTGTGATGTGTCTAGTCCTAACTTTGGTGCAGACTGAATTCTATCAGTCAGGTTTGTAATGTGGCCACCATCCTAGGTAACTCGCCATCACGGTGCACATTGATTTGATGATATTAGATGGTTGGAGGCAATGGGCCTAAGGAAGCCCTGGACCTAGGTTTCGTGCTAGTTGGCACTCATCAGTAGTCAGCAAGGCTGGTGCATCTGCAACCTTGAAGGAACTCATGTTCCTTCTGAGATTCGGACTCACGTCACACAGTGATGCAGTCAGAAACGTTACCACTCAGCAGATACGCAGATACGCCTTGCTGACCGGTGAGTGCCAACTAGCACGAAACCTAGGTCCAAGGCTTCCCGTGGCCGATTGCCTCCAACCATCTAAAGTCCAGTGTATAGATGGTAAAAAACATACCTATAAGTCAACTCTAGTGACTTTAACCCACCTACTATTATTAGTATTATAAAGGGATGGAACATTAACAGAATATCTTCAGTTTAAGAAAAAAAATTTCAGCAAAGAGTGTTTTTTTGGCTGCGAATTCATTCACTTAGCTGTACCGTCGCACTCAAATGTAGTTATTTTTGTATATGTGTGTACATCAGGCTGTTCGATAAGAATAAAAATAAGTTAGAGTTATTGTTGTCAAGACATTTCAAAAATGTGACGAATGATCACATTGTAACTAGGGCTGGGGTGGGGTGAAGATTGTCAAGAGGGTAGTTGTGATGTGTTTATCTCATAAAAGAAGTTGAATAGTTGTAATACAGTTACGTAATGCGATGAATGGTTCAGTGAGTGAGTTGTGATTACCTGCGTGAATTGGGCCAGTCGCCTATAGTGAGCATGAGGTTGATATTCAAGTCAAGTGTTGGTCTGCAGGGATTTGATGATTATATTTAGGCAGTTAGATAAGAAATTTTATTTAAAAAGGCATGCTTATGTCATTATAGAGCACAGATTAATTTCAAGCATTTATTCCAGAGAAGAAGAAAAGGGATAAGAACTGTATGTAGATATATTGATTTACAATGCCTATGATAAGAGAGAGAGAAGGAGAGAATACTGTCCGCTCCTTATTCATGCATGCACACATACATACAACAATACTGTTCTCAAGGTGATATTTTCTCTTCCCTTCTACCTTCTGATATCATAGCCTTGTTATAAATTGCAGCATATGGGTCTGATAGTCGTCACAACAACAACAACATCACCTGACAAGATATTTTTACTCATAAATATGATTGGTTGGTTGAAGGCTGAGTGTGAGACGAACAGTTAATAAGCAGTAGCAATAGTGGTCAGCTATACTATAACTCAAATAAAATGGGCGTGTACTCAAGAGATAGGTAGACAGAGAGGTAGCAAAAGACAGATCACCCCCCACTAGTACTTTTAGGCCAAACAGAGAGGGAGAGATAGAGATAACCAGAGGCAGAAAGAGAAGAAGGCGAGGGAAACAGATCCTGTTGTTGTTGTCGTTTTTTTTATTTTTCCCCTCTGATTTTCGGTTGAGAACGCTACAGATGAAAAAAGAAAAAAATCGAAGCTTAAATTTCTCTGTCTCCTTTGTTTATTATAATAGCTAATCTAGAAAAAGACTAACTGAGTAGCATTAATTTGTCTGTATTTAAATCGATACCTTCATGATGGAATGTTTAATTCACAAGAGATTTCTACATTACTGACTACCCAGGCGACATGATTAGAAAAATAAAACACCTTATGAGAAATGTTACATAATGAAGGGGATTTTTGTTTTTAAAGTATAAACTAAGCATTTTTATTCTCAAAAATATATTCAGCTTTTATTACCGTCAATGCCATTGATTCAAGTTGTTAGTTATCTGTCTATCTACCTACCTCTCACCTTGTCTGCTTAGGGATGAAAACACCTATTCCGTCAGGGTATGAAAAATTTCCATGTGATGTGAATGAAGAATACACAAGTCAGTTAGTAGAAAAAGATCCCTTGGTGTAAATCTCCTTCAAAGCTATCCAGATATTTGGGGAATTATGTGTGTGTATAGTGTTAATTCGCAACAGAGATCAAAGGTTATTGTCACTCAGGAACAAATATAAATTAAAGTGTCCTAGCATCATAATCTGCAGGTGAAATTACATAATGCAAATATTTGATAAACACTTAATTATAGGATAAATATTAAAATATTAGTTTGTGGGGATTTTGTTTGATTGGTTGGAGGGTTTCATCGTGAGTTGACGTCAGTTAGAGAACCGTTGGAAAACCAGCAATGAAGTAGTGGATATCTGTTTCACTCTACTCCATGACTCGTCAACAGTACGTACCCAACACCGGGGCTAGAATGCAGGACCTTGTAGTTACAAGGCGAGCTAGCTCGTAGACCCAATCCAATGGCCTGTCCATGAATTCTAGATTCTGCCACTTCACTCATGATATAGCACGACCAGTCCACAATGTCTTCTTCGATGAGTCACTACCTCACATTCACCCTGCTGCACCCTACTGGTCACGGCTTCCCGCTAAAGGTGAGGCAGTAACTCATATCGAAGAAGACATTGTGAAGTGGTCGAGCTATGTAATGAATTGGTCGAAGTAAGAATTCATGGACTGGCCATTGAATTGGCGGGTCCCAGTGGCTTAATGGTCTACGAGATCGCTAGGCTTGTAATCGGAGGGTCCTGGATTCGAACCTCGGCAGTGGGTGAGTACTGGTGAAGCTGACGAAACAGCCGTCCAGTACTCCTTGCTGGCTTTTCAATGGTTCTCTAACTCACGTCAGCTTATGATGAAATCCTCCAAACAAAAGGATGAAAAGTCATTCTGAAAAGAAATATACGCCATTCAAAATCAAAGAAAGACAGACGCGCATCGAAAATTCTGCATACTAAAGATAAAATAATAATTCCCAGGGTAAAATTAGTGACATCAAGTTCAGAGAAGAGATATCTTTCAACCAACCATTTATCAAAACGTACAATCGTCTACCTAGCTAACAAAATATATAAAAATAAGAAAAAGTTAAAGGTTACTGTCTGTCTGAAAGACCGATAAATCAAAGTGTGTAATAAAGAGAAAGATGTGGAGAATCGTGAATCAGGTTACGTCATCAAGAGAGTAGTCAATTAGCTACTTATTATCTGTAATGTAGTTATGCACACTAAATTCTAAATTCCAAACGTCATGCTTTGATAAAATAAATAAATTAGTCGATTAAGAAACTAAACACAAATTTAATTCTGATATAACTGGTCATACAACCACTTTATTCCATAGCCAATAGATAAAATACCGCGTTTCGCTGGAAAGATGGTATGCGAAATGATTTGAAGTAGCGATATCTGGGTTATCAGTTTGTCTGTCTACTTCCACATTTACTGTATCCAGTTGTTGTTCAAGTCCTCATCTTACTCATGTATTAGTTAGCGGGGATTCGATTAATTGGTTACAGGATTTCATCATGAGCTGACACATCGGTTACAGAACCATTGGAAAACTGATATAAGAATAAAACTTTTGCACTGTGGTAGAGTGTAATTCCATTATGGGTAAATTTTGTTTTGATAAAGTCTCACAGTGTTATACAGTAATGTTCACTGATGACGTTTCGAGCACAATTTATTGCTCATAATCATATCAAGGTAATCACACGACTTCCTAAATTCATTTATATAGTTCCACTGTTTTTCACTTGATTTTCACTTGATTTGATTGGTAGTAATATTTTCCATATTTCCGGTATGAATGATGGGTCATTCTTATTGCATGTGTTTGGTGTAAACTCGATGAACCAGGATGCAGTAATCAATCTCTCTCTCCACCTATCTAGATTACTTTTTAGAATTCTAACCCTCTCTCACCTCATTATGTGGTTGTGTGTTAATGCACGCAGTGCAATGCAGTGCTGACCTTTTTTCTAAATTACTTATCTTCTCGGGGTCAACCATTCTTACCTTAGCTAAATTCTTATGTTCTGACAATCTGACTACCTGCGACCTACTTGTTTGACCTATGCAGTTGACCTCACAGTCATTGCAGGGTATTTTGTAAATTATATTATTTTGTCTAATTAGGTCAACTGGGTCCTTTAACCTATACAACTTGTCCTTGCCAGAGTGAGTTTGTAGGTTTAAATGACACCCTTATTCCTGCTTTATTTAGAATCCTACGTAGGGAGGGTCTCAGATGTCCCCTCTTTATATGGTATAACTGTAGATGACTTATATTCTCTCTTATTTATGTTATTATTACTAGTTTCACAACTATTTTTATTTTATTGGAAAACCTGGGAGTACTGCTAGACAGCTGTTTCGTCAGCCTAGTTTGGCACCCTTCATCAGTACGCACCTACCCAGGACCATTAAGCCACTGGTGTACGAGCTCGCCTTGTAACCAGAAAGTCCTGG